AGTTAATTTGATACTAATATCGATATATTTTTGTCAAATTTTTATGATATCTTCAAACATATATTTTATTCAAAAATAAAAACATCATCGTTTTCTCAAAATCACATAAAACCATATTATAACATTGACTGAGATAACGGATAAAATGAAATATTAAAATCACGATGTATCTCGCTGCATTGCGCGAGTACGCTTCTAGTTATATTATAAAACATTTAACAAAAATTCTTAAAAACTATTTTTTATGTATAAAGTACTGTTTATTAATGCATATTACTTAAAATTCAAGATTACAAGTAAATTGTGTATAAGAACTACTTATTAAAGCTCCATATTTGAATTCGTGTAACTAACTGCAGATAAATATTTCATTTTAAATAGAAAAAATCTAAAATATAATTAAGATAATGATTGGGTTCTAACAAAATATTTAATCATTATCCTTATAAAAAAATAATATTATTAAAATAAAAAATAAATTACTTCGTTACCAAATCTAAATTAAATTATAATGAAAAATTTTAATTAAAGAAATCACACAAAAAACAAGAACTTTTAAAAAGTTAATTTGATACTAATATTGATATATTTATTTTTGAAATTTTATGATGTTTTCAAATTTGTATTTTATTCAAAAACAAAAAAACATTATTCTTTTCTTAAAACAACATAAAAACCGTATTAAAACATCTAAAAAAATGAATAAAACGAAACATTAAAATCGAGATATATCTCGCTGCATTACATGAGTACCCTTCTAGTCATAAAAATCGATATAAATATCTACAAATTTTGGAAAATGTTAGAATAGAAATGATATTTTTGAAGGGTGGGTAAACCGAAAACTATAGTTAGATGAAAAAAGGGAGGTGTTAAAGTTTAAACGTATGTTTGTTAACGGAAGAACGTTATAAGTTACTATCGTGAAGTTTTTATCGTAATTCATATTGAAAAAAAATAACGAATGTTGGTTATATTACTTTGAAAAGAAAAGTTATGTGGTGAGACTTAGAAAAGTTTTGGTCAATTATACCCAAGGTTCTAAATGGTGTGACGACAAGACTAAGTCTCAAGCCATATCGTATTTTAAGTCGTGACTTGTGATGATAATTATCTGTATCATACACGAAATCATATATATATATATATGTATGTATAAACATTTGTTTCTACTATTACTCAATGAGTTCATGATATTAAACAATTAAAATTAAGTTCAAGTCTGTCCCTTAGCATGTTAAATGTGAAATTTTGAACATGGCCCTCGAAATTTTGGGGCCTAAATTCACATGTATTTAAGGTCTTTTATCGATCTGTGTAAGATTATAATCAAAATTATTTAGGTTCAACTTATTTACTGTTTGGTTTTAGGTTCAAATCATTAATGGTTTAATTTTAGTTTTAGATTGTTAATTATCAGACATACTTAACCTGACGTCAGACATAAAACTTGAGGCATATGATACCACGAAGTTGTTATAACAAGTTAATGATTATGTCAACAACGAAGCCAAACAAAAGACCAAATTCCACCGCATTTGCACTATCAAGAATGCTGAAAAAAAAATGGTTCTTTTGTCAACTTAATAGTTGCCCAAAACCTAAGCTAAATCAAACCATGAAATAAACCCATAATTTGTCCATAACATAATGCAAGAATCATGTTAAAAACATTAAGAAATCTTCCATTTCCATCCCCACCTTCCAATTTCCATATGACACCAAAACAAGAATCATCACACAAAACTATTCTGTTTCTCATATCCATCAAAACAAATCTTTCTGATATCATATACTCTTATCTTTCTTCAACCTTTTCCCCTTTCTTTCTACCCACTTTTCATCCATGGCAAGTCTCGAGGATATTGGGGTTTCTGCACTGATAAACATAATCGGTGCTTTTACATTCCTCTTGGCTTTTGCTCTTCTCAGAATTCAACCCATTAATGACAGAGTTTACTTTCCCAAATGGTACATTAATGGCGCTCGGAGTAGTCCCAGACACGCCGGAAACTTCGTCGGAAAATTTGTCAATCTCAATTTTGCTACTTACTTTACTTTCCTTAATTGGATGCCTCAAGCTATGAAGATGAAGGAACATGAGATCATTGCTCATGCTGGTCTTGATTCTGCTGTTTTCTTGAGGATTTACATTCTTGGGTACTTGTAATCTTATTTTCCTCATATGGGTTTTTCTTTATATATCAAAAATGGGGTTTGTAATGTTTTTCTCTACATGGGTTTTTGTTAATTTGGTAGAATTGTGCATAATTAGTCAAATATTGTTGTTAATTGTTAATAAAAATTGTGAAAATTGGAATTTCAGTGTTCATCTTTTCGTAGTATGCAGTCAATGTTCTTTGACCTCCTTTGGATGTTCTTATCCTATTTGAAGATCTAGTGTTCTTTACTTATAAATCTTGATCTTAAAGTTAGGTTGCTGTTAGTGCCAAGCTGCTGCTTTAACTTTTCTTCTAAATTACTTGTCCTTTTGCTAATATCATGGTGGTGCTTTCTAATATTAGGAAATCGAAATATTTCCTCAATCTCAGGGGATTGAGTCACAAAAACAGTAAAATGCAAGGGAAAGATCATAGACACAAGCTTTTCTACTGTAATCTTGTAAATCGGAGGGCAAGATCATGGTCAAACTGTGTATAAACTCATTGCCAATTGCCACTAGTTATCGATCTTTACTATTTTGGTGCTTAAGATTATCTTATGTTGTCGTTGTTGGAGGGCATTCGAGTCATTTGATCAGTGATCAAACAATGCAGTTTTCTTGGTCAGACTGTTTGGCTATCTTTAGGATGTTCTTGAATGGATCTTTATTGTTTTTGGTGTCAATAGTTGATGAAAACACATGCCCACATGTTGCTTCGTTCTTGATTTAGATTCAGATTACGAGAAATGATTTGTTTTATCATCGTTTTTCTATTGATTCATTCTTGAGCTCACTTCAGATCACAAGAAAGATTTAGTACAGTAGTCGACTTACTGTTCTTTACACCGAATCACTAAAGTTTTTCATGTTAGAATTACCTATTTACCCCTTATCATCAATAGAAGTGATAAAAATATCGATTCTAAACATCCTCCTGTTATAATTGGCAGCTTAAAGATTTTTGGACCGGTCACTCTTGTTGCACTCTTGTTTCTTGTTCCAGTCAACGTATCAGATGGGACTTTGTTTCTCCTCCGCAAAGATTTGGTCGTTAATGACATTGATAAGCTTTCAATATCAAATGTTCAACCCAAATCTCTGAAGTAAGTTTATGTTCTTCGTGATTTATATGAAAAATTAGCACATAAAAGAATCGTTAGTACTTGAAATGCCAGAAATATGCAAATAACATTCACTCTTATCACAAAGTAAGAGTCTGCATTTGACTTTTGAGTGTCAAACGATTCACTTTTTTATGATTCTTTGCACATCTTTTGATGATATTAATGCCTCGTAGGGTATATATTCTAATTTCAGATTTTTTGCGCACATTTCGATGATGTATACGTTCACATTTTGGATCTGCTACATGCTCTATAAGGAGTACGATGTGGTAGCTTCAATGAGACTGAAATTTATGGCTTCAAAGCATAGGCGAGCCGAGCAATATACAGTAAGTGCAACTTAATCGATTAGCATTGTGTTATAGAAGATCAAAGGTTTGAGTCATGGAAACCTCATCTTTGCAAATTGTAACTAATGATGGTAAACGACTACCCTTCTGAGGGTTAGAGGCAAGGTCTGTATACATCCTACCCCAGATCCTACCTCAATGAGGGATACACTGAGTTTGTTTGGTTTGACTATAAAAGTGTTCGGTTTGACTATAGAAGATTCCCCCTCCCCCTTTGCAAACATGTGGATTATAGATATGCTTTCTAAATCTTCTAAGAAATCCTTTTTGCAAGTGGAGGGTCTTCTTGGAAACAGTTTCTCTGTCTCTTGAGATAGAGGAAAGGTCTGCCTACATCCTACCTTGTGGACCCTACTTCAGGTTGGGATATACCGGGTTTGTTTGGTTTTGGTTTAAAGGTCACGTGTTTGAGTCATGGGAACAACTTTGTTTGACGAACTATATACTTCTTGTCTATAACATTTTGTAACTCGTTTTTCAGGTTTTAGCGAGGAATGTACCTCGTCTATCAGGCCATTCCGTATCAGAGAGTGTAGACAACTTCTTCAAAAAGAACCATCCTGATCACTATCTATGTCACCAGGTAATACAGTTGTCTGCTTTCTGCTATTAGTCTCCTCAGAGTTCATTTTCGTTGGTTTGTTCTTCTAAATTGATGTGTTAAATTGTTGTTATACAACCATCATAACCTGTTGTTCGCAATTTAGGTTGTCTACGATGCAAACAAGTTTGCCAGACTCGTTAGGAGAAGACATCGGCTGCAAAATTGGTTGGATTACAACCAACTTAAGTTTGAACGACATCCCGAAAAACGGCCAACCTTGAATGTAATCCTTGTGCTTTATAGACCAACTTTCATTGTGAAACCTTTTTAAGCTTCTTAATTTGCTGTAAAAATACTAACTTCCATAATCTTTTCCGACTCCCAGGCAGGCTTCCTTGGACTTTGGGGGAAAAAGGTAGATTCCATCGATTACTACAGACATCGAATTCAAGAGTTCGATAAAAAAGTGAGTTGCTTATAATCTGTAAAAGCTTCTAGTACTTTCCTTATGATGTATACTCCATCTTTTCAGAAACAGAAAAACTACTCCTAAAATGTTTGTTTTCTAAGAGGTGTTGAACTCTGAAGTCTTTATTGATAATATATTCTTGAAATGGTAGTTGTCGATGGAGCGTCAGAAGGTCCTGAAAGATGCGAAATGTATAATGCCGGCTGCATTTGTATCATTTAACTCTCGATGGGGTGCAGCCGTGTGTGCACAAACACATCAAAGCAAAAACCCGACTCTATGGTTAACTAAGTGGGCCCCAGAACCTCGGGACGTTTACTGGAAAAACCTCGCTATTCCCTTTGTTTCATTAAGCATCCGAAAACTAGTTATTTCCATATCAGTCTTTGCTCTAGTTTTCTTCTACATGATACCCATTGCATTCGTTCAATCGCTTGCCAATCTTGACGGTCTTGAAAAAGTTGCTCCTTTTCTCCGGCCCGTAATTGAATTGTAAGTAAAGTTTTAATCTTTTTGCCTGATTTGTTTGAAAGATTTTCGGGATATAATCGATTTAAATTTATGGGATTTATTGGTTGATTTCAGGAAATTTATCAAGTCTTTCCTCCAGGGTTTTCTTCCCGGTTTTGCTCTGAAGTTTTTTATGTATATTCTTCCTACTGTTCTTATGGTTATGTCGAAAATCGAAGGCCATGTAGCGTTTTCTGTTTTGGAAAGGAGAACGGCTGCGAAATACTACTATTTCATGCTGGTGAACGTCTTTTTAGGGAGTATTGTAACCGGCACGGCGTTTGAACAGCTTCATTCTTTCCTTCATCAATCACCTACACAGTAATCTTCCTGAAAGCTTTCTCTGTTTTATCTTAATGAAATGGTGGTTTAGACTGTTAGAGTCCCACATCGGCTAGATTTGGACATTTCTACTTCAGTATATATTGGAACCCCATTCTTTCCTTAAAAGGCTCTTTTAGAGAGTAATCTGATGGGATTCCACAAGTTTGACAACTTAATGCATACACACAACTTAGTCATTTATGTCATTCAAATTGTTTATTCAAAACAACAATTTAACTTAATCCATACAGACAGCTTAATCCATACAGCGATTAATGGAAAAACAACCAAACAGCCACTAAAAGTCGAACATTTCTATCATTTCCTTTTCGAGGAGTGTCGCTTAAATTATATGTCAAGTCAAGCGTCTTAATTTTTATGGGTTTATCGACTGTAATGCAGGATTCCAAGGACCATTGGGGTATCCATTCCTATGAAGGCTACTTTCTTTATTACATATATAATGGTTGACGGGTGGGCGGGCATTGCCGCCGAGATTCTACGGTTGAAGCCGTTGGTCATTTTTCACCTCAAGAACATGTTCATCGTAAAAACAGACAGGGATCGAGAAAAGGCGATGGACCCTGGAGGTGTAGATTTCCCGGAAACAATCCCTTCCCTCCAATTATACTTCCTAATGGGCATAGTTTACGCTGTTGTTACTCCGATACTTCTTCCGTTCATTCTCATCTTTTTCGCGTTTGCATACTTCGTTTACCGCCACCAGGTACATTCTATCTCCCCTTGTTCTTGTTTTTACAATAAAACAGTTGGACAAAATACATCAAATTTTGCCTTAGCTCCTATTTAGTGCAATATACTTTTTTGTATCCATTTTGGTCGTTAACTTGCTGATCTTGTAACATTTGTAACATGGTTCCACTTCGCTGTAACCCGTGTTATCAAATTTTACAAGATCGGCAGATACCGGTCAAAATGGGTAAAAATAGGAAATTTTGAAACTTTGTTACATCGATTCAGAAAAAAAATCTTTTCGTTACACTAAGTAGGAACTAAACCAAACTTTGTTCCACTTTGATGCATGTTACCCTACAACAGTTTCATGTTCACCGTTTCTTTATATCGATGCAGATAATTAACGTGTACAATCAACAATACGAGAGTGCTGCTGCGTTCTGGCCACATGTTCATAGTCGCATAATCGCGAGCTTGTTGATATCTCAGTTACTTTTGCTGGGACTGCTTAGCACAAAAAAGGCTGCAAATTCTACTCCGCTGCTTGTCGCATTACCTATTTTGACCCTAACGTTCCACAAATACTGCAAGAATCGCTTTGAGCCTGCTTTCCGTGAATACCCTCTTGAGGTAAGCGATTAAACGTTGGTTACCGATGATAATGGAAGGCAATTATTAGTTGTAAGTGGGAACCTTGGGTAACTTCACACTAATTGTGAGAATATGAGAATATGTGGAACCCCATCAGATTACTAGCTGATGTTGTATTGTAACACTGATAGACGGACAAGATGTCCCTGATCGTAGACCTTGGCTCTGATACCATGTAAGATATACGTGGAACCCCATCAGATTACTAGCTGATGTGAGACTGTAACACGCCCCCTCCAATGGAGGCTAGACCAAATGGACACATATGTCCCAGATGGTACACCTTGCATATGATACCATGCAAGAAATATGTGGAACCTCTGATTACTCTTCAAAAGAGCTCTTCAGTATAGAAGAGAGGTTCCAATATATATGTACAAATCTAGCTGATGTGGGACTTAACACCTGATGAATTTCTTCTTTTGTTGTGTTATCTCAGGAAGCCATGGAAAAGGATACACAAGACAAAGCTTCTGAATCCGAAATCAACCTCAAGTCTTACTTGTCCGATGCCTACTTGCACCCGATTTTTCGTTCTTTTGAAGAAGTGGAGTTGGCAGAGGTCAGGGTTGACAAGAATCCGGATAACATCCTGAGTCGACCGGAACCCGAAACCGAACCCCAAACTGAAACTGAAACGGAACCCGCTTCCCCTTCCCATTCTCCTTCTCCGTCCCATCACTTGCATGAAGAACACGAAGAGTCTGTGACTGTGCAGCACTATGAAGTTGGACCTCCAGCTAACGTTTATCACTACGGATACGAACACCATGAGAACATCTTTCACTACAGTATTGATCGCAATCATGAGACACAACATGATGTGCAGGACTATGTTGTGGAGTCACCACACAGCTACTATCGGTATTGAGTCGAGCCCGAGCCCGAGCCCGAGTTAGAGTCGAATGTATGTTTTCGTGCATAAAATGCTAACCAGTTTTACAAGATAGTCCTGTGAATACTAATTGTTGATAGATGCAATGGACACACATTTTAATTCCTTCCAATTTGATTTGGGCTGAAAATTTGGAGTTGTGAAAAAATTGATCCATTATATTATATTAGTTGTGTATCTGTGCAATGTAGCAGGAGCCGTGAATTTTAACGATTTTGAAGTTTCACTGGTTTTATTAAAGATTTAACGATGATATAAGTTACACTTGGTCTTTACATATTCATACAATTTGAATAAATAAGAGTTATGGTTCCAATTACATTCTATCGATGAAAAAAATATTGTATTACAATTTAAAATCCAATATATTTAAAATCCAACATATTTAAATGACTCCATAAATGTGTTCGATTTACACAAAAACCAAAGAATCAAGAGATCGAGAGCGAGATCGAGAGTTTTAGAGTAATTGAAAAGGAGATGAATGAGAAAACTTTTAATAATTCATGGTGAATATCAGTTTGAATCTCACATTGAGGGATGGGGAGAAGACATAGAGGCATGAGAGGGTGAAGACATGAGTGAAATGTGTCAAAGTATCTTGGGAACATGAAAAAAAAGGTAATAATGTGCATTGGTAACTTGTATTATATTTATTTTAATTGTAGATTAAAAAAAAATTAAAATTGAATGCATAAAGTAGTAGTACTTAATACATTATGAGTTGTTTTTAAGATTTTGTGCATAAATGTATAGTACTTTATGCATTAAAAATTGTTTTTAAGATTTTTGATAAATTTAGTTTATAAGGTAGTATAGATAAACGTGAATACTTATTTTAGTTTTCATTCCTTAATTTATTCTTCATATCACGTTTCAGTCTATCTAACTGACAACTGTAATTAGATTGATTCCTTTTCATCTTGAAATCCCACCACAGAGCGAGCACCTTCGAGTCATTTATTCAGCAATACTAGACTACAATCGTTTAACGTATATATGTATGAAATACGTAAGCTTTAAGCTTAATAAGCAGTTATGGTTTCATGAAGAAATCATCTATCACGAAACATCTCAGTCTAGTGCCTGAATAACAACACTTCATGCATAACCTTATCTCATGCAAGGTAAGCTTGCTAAAACATCATTTCAAAATATTCATCATGCATTAAGATATTTATATAGCACGTATATATAGATGAGCGATTAAATGCAAATTTTAATAAAATTGTTTCATTTATTTCTCTAAAATTAATATAATGAAGATGATAATATTCATGATTAACGCTCTTCACAATAAAAATGATTAATCAACTTCTCATAATTACAAAAAAATAAACAAAATGAAAAATTATGACTGATTGAATGAAGTTTGTACGGTTTGCACAAATAACGTGGTTTGCAAAGTAAGCATCCTCTATATCTATAATATATTACTAGAAGAATACTCGCGCAATGCAGCGAGATACATCTTGATTTTAATATTTCATTTTATTCTTTATCTCAGTCGATGTTATAATATGGTTTTATGTGATTTTGAGAAAGCGATGATGTTTTTATTTTTGAATAAAATATAAGTTTGAAGATATCATAAAAATTTGACAAAAATATACGATATTAGTATCAAATTAACTATTCAAAATTCCTCATTTTTTTGTGTAATTTTTTAATTCAATTTTTTATAATTTAATTTAGGTACAATAACAAAGTAATATATATTTGGTTTAATAATATAATTTTCTTATAAAGATAATAATTATTTATTTTGTTAGAA